TAAACAGATGATTAACAGCAATGAAATTGAACTGGTGATCAAAAAAACTACCTAAGAAAAAACACTGAACCAGATGGCTTCACCGCTGAATTTTATCAAACATTTAGAAAGGACCTAATACCCATCTTCCTTAAAATTTTCCAAAAGTAGAAGAGGAGGGAATACTTCCAAACTCATTCTATGTGATGAGCATTACTCTAATACCAAAACCAGACAAAGACACCACAATAAAAGAAAACTACAGACCAATATCCTTGTTAAACAAAAATACTCAACAAAATATTAGCAAATCAAACTCAAATATACATTAAAAAGATAATTCATCACGATCAAGAAGGATTTTCTTCAGGGAAGCAAGGATGGTACAACATTCAAAAATCCATCACCATCATCCACCACATCAACAAAAGAAGGACAAAAACCACATGATCATTTCCACAGATGCTGAAAAAGCATTTGACAAAATTCAACATCCATTCATGATGAAAACTCTCAACAAAATGGGTATAGAGGGCAAGTACTTCAACATAATAAAAGCCATATATGACAAACCCACGACCAACATCATACTTAACAGTGAAAAGCTAAAAGCTTTTCCTCTAAGATCAGGAACAAGACCAGGATGCCCACTCTCCCCACTCTTATTAAACATAGTACTGGAGGTCCTAGCCACAGTAATCAGACAACACAAAGAAATAAAAGGCACCCAGATTGGTGAGGAAGAAGTTAAACTGTCACTGTTTGGAGATGACATGATATTGTACATAAAAATCCCTAAAGAATTCACTCAAAAAACTACTAGAACTAATAAGTGAATTCAGCAAAGTTGCAGGATACAAAATTAATACACAGAAATCTGTTGCATTCCTATATACTAATGATGAATTAGAAGAAAGAGAAATCAGGAAAACAATTCCATTCACAATCACATCAAAAAGAATAAAATACCTAGGAATAAACCTAACCAAGGAAGTGAAAGACCTATACCCTGCAAACTACAAGATACTCATGAGAGAATTTAAAGAAGACACCAATAAATGAAAATACATCCCATGCTCATGCACAGGAAGAATTAATATTGTCAAAATGGCCAATTTGCCTAAAGCAATCTACAGATTCAATGCAATCCCTACCAAAATTTGAACAACATTTTTCAATGAACTCAAACAAATAGTTCTAAAATTCATATGGAACCACAAAAGACCCCAAACAGCCAAAACAAATCTGAGAAGGAAGAATAAAGCTGGGGGGATTACACTCCCCAACTTCAAGCTCTACTACAAAGCTACAGTAATCATAAAAATTTGTTATGGGCACAAGAACAGACCCATAGATCAATGGAACAGAACAGAAAGCCCTGATATAAAACCAAACATATACAGCCAATTAATATATGATAAAGGAGCCATGCATATATACTGGGGAAATGACAGCCTCTTCAACAACTGGTGTTGGCAAAACTGGACAGTTACATGTAAGAGAATGAAACTGGATCACTGTCTAACTCCATACACAAAAGTAAACTCAAAATGGATCAAAGACCTGAATGTAAGTCACGAAACCACAAAACTCTTAGAAAAACACATAGGCAAAAATCTCTTGAATATAAACATGAGGAATTTTTTCCTGAACATATCTCTTTCAGCAAGGGAAACAAAAGCAAAAATGAACAAATGGGACTAACTACATCAAGCTAAAAAGCTTCTGTATAGCAAAGGACACCATCAGTAGGACAAAAAGGTATCCTACAGTTTGGGAGAATATATTCATAACAATCCATCTGACAAGTGGTTGACACCCAAAATACATAAAGAACTCACACGCCTCAATACCCAAAAAGCAAATAACCCAATTAAAAAATGGGTGGAGGATTAAACAGACATTTCTCCAAAAAAGAAAGTCAGATGGCCAACAGGCACATGAAAAGATGCTCCACATCGCTAATTATTAGGAAAATGCAAATTAAAACCATAATGAGATATCACCTCACACCAGTTAGGATGGCCAGCATCAAAAAGAATAAGAACAACAAATGGTGGCGAGGATGCAGGGAAAGGGGAACCCTCCCACACTGCTGGTGGGAATGTAAGCTAGTTCAACCATTGTGAAAAGCAATAGGAAATAGCATTTGACCCAGGAATTCCACACCTAGGAATTTACCCAAAAACAAGATCCCAGATTTAAAAAGACATATGCACTCCTATGTTTATTGCAACACTATTTACAATAGCCAAGATAAGGAAGCAACCTAAGTGTCCATCAGTAGATGAATGGATAAAGAAGATGTGGTACATATAGAATATTATTCAACCATAAGAAAACAAATCCTACCATTCACAACAACATGGATGGAGCTAGAGGGTATTATGCTCAGTGAAATAAGCCAGGCAGAGAAAGACAAGTAACCAAATGATTTCACTCATTTGTGGAGTATTAACAATAAAGCAAAACTTCATTTTGAAGGAACAAAATAGCAGCAGATTCACAGACTCTAAGAAAGGACTAGCGGTTACCAAAGGGGAGGGTATGGGTAGGAGGGTAGAAGGGGATTAAGGGGCATTACGATTAGGACACATAATGTAGGGGGGTCATGGGGAAGGCAGTGTAGCACAGAGAAGACAAGTAATGACTATAGCATCTTACTATGCTGATGCACAGTGACTGTAACGTGGTATGTGTGAGGGGGGACTTCATAATATGGATGAATGTAATAACCACAATATGGCTCATGTGAACTTTTATAACATTATATATCAATGATGCCTTAATAAAAAGAAAAGAAAGAAAGAAAAAGAAGTATAGACTGTAGAACCAAACTGCCTAAGTTTAAATTGCAGCATCACCATATACCAGCTATGTAGTCCTGGAAAAGTTATCTGACCTTTCTAAGCCTGAATTCTCTCATCGAAAAACAGGGCTTAGTAATAGTATCTACATGATACGGTTGTTATAAGGATTCAATGACTTAGTTATTTAAAGGCTCTTAAAATACTGCTGGCACACAGTAGGTTCTATATAAATAAGACATTATTATTATTAGAGTATTAGGTTCAATTCAGGATAACATATTTCAAGAAAGGTAAGCCTTTCTTTTAAAGAAGTAGTTTTTCAACTTTCTTAGGTCACAAATCTTTTGAAAGCTATAGATCTGTTTCCCAGAAAATATTAAGACAATGACTTCCAAGTGGTTTGTGGATCTCCTGGGAGTCAGCTATGCTCCTAAGGGGTTTGGACACTACATGTTAAAAATTTCTAATCTAGAGGAAAGCAAGTAAGGTACTAAAAAAAAAAATGAGGTCTGGAAACTATAATAAAGAGAACAGTTAAAGGTATGCAGAAACGTTTGACCTTTAAATATTTGGAACATGGAAACTTAAATATTTTAAATTTGAGGGCAACGGTCATGTTCCAAATATTTCAAGGTCAAAAAAAGCAGCAGTAAAGCTCAATAAAGCAGCAGGAATCATGTTTTGTTGTTACAGATTATTGAACAAAAGTACAGGTTACAGAAAGACAGACTGGTATTCAGAATAAAGAAGAACAGAATCTAAATACTCACCTGCTATGGATATAGATTTCAGTATTATAAAACAATAGCATGAACTAGGTCAACTGTAATGATCCCACCAAAATTAATTCAGGTTATCAGCAACAGAATGGGTCAAGAACCACTGTTGGCCCTAGTGACAGAAGTGAACAAAACAAACAGAAGCCCTGCTCTCATGAATCTAAATTCAGTTAGACAGTGTTGTCACTTATCTGGGGAAACGTATTTTGGAAACTAGTAGCAATCATTTTCACCAGTCTACTTTCAAAATCTGTACCAGTTAGGGACTATACTATAGCTATACCTTTAAAAATATTAGTTTTTAAGGGACTGAAACACAGCTGCTGATTAACATCAGGTACCAGGCAATTCAGAATGTTTTTTGGTTCACTTTAAAACAAACTTACATCATGATTAAATGAATACTAATCTGGGATTGTTGAAAAAAACAAACCTGATGTCTCCAACTAACCTGAGGCTTCACTGACAGATTGGAGATTCTGCAACAAAATACTTACCTGACTCACAACACTAACAAGAGCACTTTGAATAAAAAATTCTAGTCTTGTTGGGGGGTGGCAATTAGTTAAGCAGTAGAGGAATAACTAAGAAATCAGATTAGAAAAGGACTTAAAAAACTGCTATACATAAATTGCATAAACATCCACATTCAAAAGTAACCTAAAGACTTCCTACTATGACATCAGAAATTTCACAACTGATAAATGGCTATGTATGCCATATTTATTGATATTTATAAATAATTACTTTTGTCACACATTTTTTAATGTTTCACGAAGACTGTCATATACTTTCACATTTTTTATAGGCATGTTTTCATATACTGCTCTCACAAGAAACAAAAGGAAAAACAAAGCAAAGCGACACAAGACAAAAAAAACAGTCTTTCAAGATGTAAGGTCAAATGCAAACATGACAGCTAAGGGAAGAAAATGTGTTTATAATCAGAAAGTATGGTAAATCTATATTCTATAAAAATAATCTCAATATAAGTTTTAGAACTGCCTATTTTATCTTAGTATCCCAATTACATGAAGGGGATATAAAAGTAAAGGCAAATAATATGGAGAAGACATTTAATAAAGTGTTTAAAAAACTTTGTGTCATGATGCTTAACCAAGTAATTAAAATAATGCATTTTAAGAAAATTTCTCTTACAATAAAAGAAATACCTCAACCAACTTAAAGCCAAACTTATTCTATGATCTACATGCTATGTTTGGAAAAACCTAAAATATTTTAAGTTTTGGTACAATTTTCCAGGAAAACACTGACTGCATGTTTATACATGTACAAATTAAACAAGTTTTTAAATACCTTGAAAATGTGAAATAGCTTTAAGGAAATCTAAAAACATGATATTTAAGCTACGTGTCTCATAGGTATTTTAGGAGTAGTCTGATCAGGTTTTTAAATAACATTATATAATTACCTGTGTTTATTTCTTCTGCAACTTTTAAATCTTCTACCTGAATCATATGATCTAACATCTCTTTAAAATGGTCTCTGATTTCTTCAGCTGACTCATCACCAAATTTATAATCACATAACATTACAGTGGATCCCGGAATGGGGACAAAAACTCGGTGAGGAAGGATGTGGAACTCTTTTTCAGAACCTGAAAGGAGAAGGAATACTGTCAATACTTAGACAGGTGTGTCACTGGTATTGTGATGTATATTTTGTAAGTATATGAAAGCATGTACTACTAGAAATAAAAACTGAGAAGTCTTTTTGTTTTCTCATTGATCTAGCACAAAATTGATCTTACTAAATTCTGCTTTTCCTCAACTCCTGGCCTCTGCAAGGGACCTAAATGATACTCCTATGAGACAAACTTATCACAGCTTTCAATGTAATGATGTTGATTATATATTCTTGTATTATCCACTGTCCTACAAAGGAATACCCAGGAGAGAATTTTGTCCCTGGTCCCAGAAATTATTTTTCTTGTTTGTCTTAACCTTACAAGTACTGAATTTTATAAACAATTTTTCCCTTCATTCAAGTTTGGAGCCAAATTAGGGGCTCACCTACATCAAGTGCATAAGACATAAATAGCACCCTATTTTGCACTAATCTCACCACTGACTTCATTGTACCTGATACGGCCCCCTTTATCAAGCACATGTAGAAAATCAAGACACATATTTTGTTTACTAATCTATCATCTTGCTCTCTCACGTTCCGTTTGCCTCTTTATTATTACTAATATTGATTTTATCTTAACTTGCAATGCCTTTTTATAAATAACACTAAAGTATGTTTAGAAAAAATAATCTGGATCTAAATAAGTAATGAATAAACTATGTTTCATTCTTCAAGTACAAAATAAAATATTTCCACCAATTTCTAATAGTCACTGGTCCACATAAACACATAATTACTGTCATGTTCAACACCATGATTCTAATGAACTACCAATAAAGATAGAGATTTTGTGTAAAGAATGTTATCTTTCAGCAATAGATATGATTTAAAAAGCTATCAATCTACAAATCAAATAGAAAATTAGGCTCATTTTAAAAGTAACCTGCATTTCCTTGTTAAGAAACTAGTGGTAGCTTTATATAACTATGAGCAGATGATAAAGAATGCTTTGTGTCACAGGAAATATCATGACTTAAGTTATGTACTCCTGCTAGATCTGCTTATTATCTGATTTCCATATAAGAAATGGGAGAACAATTTTACTCTTTGACCAGACTGCCTCCTAGCTTTAAAGTTACATTACTGCAATTTGTACTGCAGCATGCAAATTATACACACATTAAAATTAGGAATATACTATTTTATTTAGGGCCACCGTTTCTTGAAACAGGTTCAGTTCAAAAGTTCCAAAGATAGCTATAGTTTATGTGTACCTGGCATGCAAAATTTTATAACTATTTCAAGTTGTATTAATTCCAGATTTACTTGGAAAAGAGACAAATATGCTTACTATAAAATCAAATGCTAAAGAATTAGGTAAATGAGTTTAAATTACTCATTAAAAAAGAAAAAGCATTTATAATTTTAAAATTAAAAACTTAAATTAGCCATTTAGTATCTAAAAAAGACCAACTTGTCTAGTTGATCTGAGGTTAAAAATAGAAGGGGAGATCTTTTTTCAAAACACATTTCAAAAAGTATTCTAAAAAATAATCCCTTAGGAATATTCCCACATCAGAGTATCCAGTTCAATATTATTTGAGTAAGTTCAAAACAGAAAATATTTAAATTGAAGCCAATATGGTAAGAACTGGGTTTCTTTTGGTTAAGAATAAAATCTTAACACCTGTGTACAACAGGTGATGCTATCTGAGCTGACTCTTAACGTGTCTTAAATGGATAGACTTAAATAATAGACATTTGCACGAAGGAATGGGAAATTCTATCCAGAGAGTGGAACCATGAGCACAGACAAAGAGAACAGCAAATGTTCTGAGAGAACAATGGATGTGGATGTAGGGATAGAAAAAGGTAAGGGATTTCACAACTAATGACCTCAATTTTCACAATGAACAGGTCATCTACTGAGAGTAAGGTGGGCAGGATTGAAGGGAGGCTAATAATGAAGGCCTGAAATACTTCTTAAAGGGTATCAGATAAGAAGATCGCAGTAAATATAAGGAATGGCTGGAGTTCTTATATATTTCTACTGTCACTGAAGTACTAAGTTCCTTCATCTATACCCAGAATTGAAAGACTATGTTTATTTTAAGATTAGGAAAGAAAAGTTAACATGCCCGTGGCAGACTTCCCTATGCATACAAAAATAAGGTTAATTTCATGGCATACATTCTGTATTTTACCATATTACAAATCTACAAGATCTTGCCAGTATAAAAGAAAGATAAGTAAAATGAAGTCCAAGTCTGAGACCTAACAATTTGTTTATATGTACATTCAACTTCAAAATTCACATTTGTTTATATTATTATACTTGTATTTATTCTTTAATCTTGGTATCTTATGATTAACCAACTTGTTGCTGAAATAATTATCCCATTACTACAGTTTAAATATATATATATATATATAATTTTAAAGACAACTATCAGTATGTAATTCTGTTCCTCTATCACCTCCAACATAATAGCAACTACCACTTACTGAGGGCTTAGCTTACCAATGTATCAGGGTCTTTAAAAACATCACCTTATTTAATCTCGCAGCCTCAAAAAGCAGCTCCTGTAATTCCTGTATTCCACCTAAGACACGATGCTTAGGGAGGCTAAATCATTTGCCCTAAGTCACTTGGCTAGTGGCGGAAGACACAGAACAGAGAACTTCAGCCTTTGCTCTACCAAGCTTCACTGCCTATTCTCTTCATACAGGCCTCAAAGGCCACTCAATTGCCAGCAAAATGCCAGTCAGTTACAAGTCAAATTGCTCAGAAACTGAAGTAATGTTTAACACCATGAGAGGCATCACATACACAAAGCCAACCAGCAATAACGAAGTCCCAGTGAGATGAGGCTGCAGGGCTGAATAGGTGGCTAAGTGACCAGGTTTCACATACTTCACAAAACAACAATCTCAATCTAACTGGTGCACGTAAGATTCAAATTCATGTCTCAGCAGAACTCTACATTATTAATGGATGGAACTTGAGGGTTTCTCTGTGCAGTATGGTAAGGACAGATGTTAAATCTGGAAATTCCAGGAATATATCATACTAGGAATATAAAAGGGACTATGATTAGTCCACTAAACCTAATATACTGGCTATCAGTAGTACTAAATGAACTTAGTTATATAGAGGAACTATACTATTTTCTTATAAACATAAAAATATTTCCTTATAAGGCTACTACATCTACTTCAATTATGTACATACTCAATTGTGAATTACAAATCCATTCACATCTGAATAGCGGGAAGGCAGAGATGAATGTGTAGCTTCAAAAGCATATTCAATATTATAATCTTATTTTTAATACAAATTACTAACATGGTATAAATTGTTTATGCTTCTCAAAATACAGAATAATGATAAAAGATTAAAACCAGTCTGTTTAAAATCTAACAAAGTTCATTAGAGTAATAGATGAGAAGTATATAAAACAGTATCCAAAAAAACCCTGGTATGAATAAGAGACATCAATTGCATATACACCACAAATTAATAGCTGTTAAAGAATCTATTCTATAGCAACACTAATAAGCAAATTAATGTTTTGATTATGAATAAATTTGTGAAAAAACTTCATAGATATTAATAAAAAATATTACTGTTTAAACTATGTTTATAAGTTAACAGTTTATCCATTCTGGCAGACTTTCACACAGAATTTTTTTTTAATCTTCTCTGAAATTGTTAAAATGTTAACAAATTTGCTATTGTTAAGTATTCAAATATGGTTTTTGGGGTGGCAATTGAAAAATTTTAAATCAATAAGAAACATAAAAGATGACATATTGGTATAAAATAAATATAGGTAGTTATAATAGATGAAAAGTCTAATAGTTTAATTAGAAACAATCCAACAATGAGCAAATCTACAGAGAAAGAATGTAGATCATTGGTTGTGTAGGACTGAGGGATGATGGCTGAGGGGTGTAGGTTTTCTTTCGGAAGTGATGGAAATGTTCTTTATTGATTGTGGTGAGGGTTGTGCTTATCTGTGAATCTCCTGAAGAATTTTGAATGGCACATTCTAAATGGGAGAGTTGTATGTTATGTGAATTATATCTTGATAAATCTATTAACAAAAACAGTAACTACAAACCTTACACATAGAAAAATAGAATAGAAAGAAATGTGCTAGAAGGTTAAAAGTAGATGTAATTTGATGGTGGATTCTAACTGGTTTTTTTTTATGTCTATTTTTTCAGTATTTTCAATAGTGATCACATATGTACTTTACTATTTTATAATAAAAACTTTTAAAAAGAAAAAATGAATTAAAATAAAAGAAAAAAGATGATGTATCTTTACCTTGACATCTTATTACAGCATGAGTCTTTCACTTATACATAAATTTTTCCCATGAATACATTGGAAAAATTTCTGGAGATATATGACAATCTGAAAAAACATTTTCTTTTCTCTAGCTTACTTTTTTTCTAATACAGTGTATAACACATATACAAAATATGTGTTAATCAACTGCTTTTGTTATCAGTAAGGATTCTGGGTCAACAGTAGGCTATTAGTATTTAAGTTTTGGGGGAGTCGAAAGTTGTATGTGATTTTCTATTGCACTGGGGGTCAATGCCCCAAGCCCCATGTTGTTCAAGGGTCCACCATATTGTATCAATTCAATATATGAAAAAAAAAAAGTACTTAATGTTATACTCATAACTTTTTTTTCTGGAATTTCATTCAAAAGCAGATCCTCAAATAGTATTTCACAACGATCAGCAACTGTATTCAATATATCTCTCTTTACTGCCTATGGTAAAACAAAACAAAATGAATCACAATAAGAAATAAAATCCATTTCTTTAGATTTATATTGTTTTATTACCAAATCCTCCCCTGCATTTAACTGGCTTCCTGCATAATCATGTTCATTAAAATAACTAGGCACATCATTTCATTTCCAGTTATTTAACATGCTTATTAGTACATTAGTAGTTTATCAGCACATCTGCCTAGAATTCATCTAAATAGTAAATTAAAATAAAATAAATGAATTATATTCTGCATCTAAAGAAATAATGCTAGTGTTCCTAATTAGGAAATGTGTAATCATGATAAAAGTGCTAGTCATCATTTTTAAAATCTCTGAATTATACAGATTATAGAACAGTACCTAATAATTCTTACTATGAATACTTTTCCTGTTTTTAAAAATTCAATTTCCCTTAAGAGAAATTATCTCAAATGTACTACTGTGCCACAACTGTGGGACATTCAATAAATTCGTATCCTCATCACTTTAAAAAAGGCATGAAGTATAGATATTCTACATATGAAATCTTGGGAGCAATTACATGGCATAAATGGACTGCCCAACAGGTTTGGGCCTCCATCAGTTAAAATCAAATTAATAATTATGAAATCTCAGACTGAAAAAAAAACATTTTAGGATTTTTGAATCGTTATGTCAACATGTTTCTGTTTTTCATATACCACTTAATCTTTTTGTACCTGTACAGCATCTTTAACCTTGGGTTTATTGCTATGAATATAAGCCCTGCATTTCACAGCACCCTTAAGGTTTACAGAGCCACTGCAGATCTGGACTGTGGCTGTGGATCTGTGGTCTGAATTCAGAAGCTGAAAGACAAAAACTGGTTAAGTTATAAGAGCTGACAATTATTAACTATATGAAACATTAAAACATTATATAAACCATTTCACGAAGAAGGAATTTTTGATTGAACCAAGTATTTAAAAATATTTTCCATACATTATTAAGAGGGCTTTACAGTTCCCTTTTAAGTTATATATTATTTCTGAATATTTTGAATGTACTCTGAAATTAAAAACAACCACACGTAAATTTTTTCTTATTAACATAAACCTCTAAAGTATATGCAGGATAGATTAAAAATACGAAGATATTCCAACAGATATATACAAAGGTGTCAGAATTTTCAGAGAGAAAAACACTTTGGACAACAATGAATCGATTAGAGACTCGTTAAGAATTACTAGTTATACTACAGGAAAAATACTGCTATGGACTAATGGTAGTGGGGCTACAGGTACATCTCATTTTATTATGTTTCACTTTACTGTACTTTAAAGATATTGTATTTTTTACAAATTTTTTTTGCCGGATTTTTGGCAAGGTAACCCTACATCAAGCAAGTCTATCAGCACCATTTTTCCAACAGCATTTGCTCACTTCATGTCTGGTCACATTTTGGTAATTCTCACATATTTCAAACTTTTCATTATTATATTTGTTATGGTGATCTGCAATAAGTGATCTCTGATGTTACCGTTGTAACTGTTTTGGGATGCCACAAACTGTGCCATATAAGACGGGGAACTGAACTGACAAATGTTGTCTGTTCTGACTGCACCACCAGTTTGTTCCTGTCTCTCTCTCCCCTTAGGCCCCCCTATTCCATGAGACACAAAGGACACTTCTACAATCAAAAGGAAGAAGGAATACAAAAGACTGAATTACTTTTAAGGTATTGACAAGAGAAACAGAACTCAAGTGGCCTAAACCCAGTGACAATTCAGTAATGCTCTATTGCTAAACAAAGAAGGAAAAGAAAACATCTTCTATGGCAAATTGCATTTAAATCTAATTTATTTAGTTAAAAAAATATGCAAGTCATGGTAGTATTTCCCCATTTCAATGTTTCCAATATAATATTGAAATGAAAGTTTTCCAAAAACCTAGATGTACTTATAACCTGTTTTCTAGGATAATGTCAAGCAGGATTAAAGCAAAAAATGTGTATATATTTAGGAATTATTAGTGGCTTTAACATTTTATTCTTTAAGATATTCAACTCTTCATTCCTAAGAGGAGACATGTAATTTAAAATAACCAGATAAGAATGTAAAGCCTGCTAATACTGTATGATTTTTACCAAATCAGAGGAGGTAAACATCTACTTCAAAATAAGTTTATGACAACTCTTGTCATATCTGTGTACATATCTTTTAAATTGCAACTTAACTCATAAACCTTCAACCCAAAATATCACACACCCTTAACATACATATATATGTGTGTGTGTATGCATATGCGTACTTTTAAATTGCCATCTACTTGATGTTAAAATTTTTAATAGCCAGGAGGCAAAGACCCATATAGATTTTATAAATAAAATTTCTAGGGAAAAATCTTCCTAAAACTGAACACATTTTAGGCCCTTACATCTCTAAAAGTCTTTTGACTTTCTAACTACAAACATAAAAAGAGAAACGATTTCATTATGGTTATGCGATGAAATAATGTATTTTACCTAAGTAGTACTTTAAAATATTTACCAACTGTGTGAGCACTTTGACATCAAAAGAATGACTAGTCACTTGAGCATTTCCTCTAGAAGATTTCTTCTGAAAAAAACACAAAAGTTAAAAAACTAGATTGTTGAGATTGGAATGAACATAAAAGACAACCTAGGAACTATTTTACATATACTACGTAACTTAGAGGTGAAAAAAGTTGTTTGTTTTATTTTAGCTTTTTCCATAGATGCATTACTTTGTGCATTCTCAAAGTGGACTCTTAAAAAGCATTTATTTCCTACTTTTATTCTTCTAAAGCAAGGACAGGCAATCTATGGCCTGTGGGTCAAAACCAGATCACCACCTATCTTTGTAAATAAAGTGTTAGTGGAACCCAACAAAGGTCACTCATTTACATGTTGTCTATGGCTGCTTTCATGCTGCAGCAGCAGAGCAGAATAGTTACAACAGAGACCACATGGCCCTGCAAAGTCTGAAATATTTACTGTTTGTTGACCTTTGCTCTAAAGGAAGAGGTCACCAAAGTTCCTCTTTAGATCAAAGCTATTTTAGAAGCTGAGAGAGATCCTTCCTTTAAAATGGATAAAGTCTTTTAAACTGCTGTCAGGGCAGAACATGTGCCTTAATTTTAAATAAGCAGTTTACAGTTTGGAAATTAGGTGGAATTTAGGTCACTCCCTTCTTCAGGTTTCAGAATTTGAATTATTTCAGAAATAATCTACCATCATTTTCTGAGGAAAACACTGGTTTACATTAAAAGACCTTAGAAATAAGAAGTAAATGAAAAGTTTTCATGAAGACAAGAACAAAACAACCAAAGTCATCTTTTATTTGCTTAAACGTAAGTAATTTTCTAAAATGATTTCTTCTTAACTCACTTGTCCTTCTAGTAGGTCACAATCTTCATCTTTAACTTGTCCATTTATCAAATAAATACCGTTTTCTATTTGCTTGGCCCAGCGTATAAGTCCATTCTTAAAAGAAATACAACATTGGTATCTTTCAGATATAATTCCATCTCAATTAAACTCCCTAGAGTCTAATTTTTTTCCACCTAAATAAAGTAAAAAGGTTAAAGATCTCTAAATATCAGTAATGTAATTCAGTCTCATAAACAACAAACAAAATGTATCCCCTATTTTTGGCAGCTTAACTATATCTAGTAATAGCTTTTCTAATCTTTATCCTAAATTAACATTCAGATCATATGTGGTAGGCTTAATAACTACATGACCATAATCAAATAACATCCAATGATTTCCACTATTTTTTTTTTAATGTGAGAAAAGAGAAAGAGCCTCAAGCAAATACATAAAGCAGTATTAAAGAGAAAAAATAAGCTAGTTCCATTTGCTTCCTTTAACAGGAAAAGAGAAGAGAAATAGATATGAAGAAAAGAATGGTATCGAAATACAAAGAAGGAAAGAAGAGAGAACAAAGGAGAAAAGAGAAAATAAAACTAAAGACCAAGAGAAAGTAGAAAGACCAAACAGAATACCTTCTTTGATAATTATATTTACATAACTATATTTTACAATATATGTAACTACATGTTAACTAACAAATATTTAGAGAGCACCTGTTATGCTAAATACATTAGTATTAGGACATTGTCCCACCTCTAAATTTCTAATCTGGCTGGGATAATGAATTAGTTATCCATAACAATATCATTATCATTAGAATGTAACTTTTGAGGATTATAAAATGAATGTCATAGATCACTAAAATAAAAGCAGATTATGTATTCAGCAATTACTAAAAAAAAGTTCATATTACCCTGATACCTTTGTATTTTTCTCCAGAGTATAGCTGACAGAAGTAGTAGACAGCGGGATGTGAATATTAATATGAACTGTACACTCTAAAGAAAGCCATGAAGCTGACAGTCCATTTTGATACTTCCAATCTGCTGGTTTTGCTGAACTCTAAGCAGTAAGGAAGGAGAAAGAACAAAATATGTGATTTCGGTAAAATACACATGTCAATAAAACATCATAAAATGTACAACCTAATAACTCATACAAGCTGATATCTGACATATTTGGCCAAATTCTTGTATCAAGGAGCAAAAAGCTAGACCTAAATAAAATAGGCATGTATTAAGTTCAGTATTCTTCAGCACATCCCAGGCCACTCGGGCAACTCCCTTCCCTAGCACCAAACAAGAAAAAGGATCAGACATTTCCCTATTTAGAACTCTGACAAATCCTCTGGTCTTCTAGTTCTCATTTGTAGCTTCAACAGTATAGATTCTGAAGCTTCTGACGTAGAGCAAATTATCATTGAGCAACTACTAGGTACCAGACGTTCCTCTTACTGTCCCATCCTTGCTAGCAGAATGCTGCAGTTACTTTTTCACATTGCTTTCTGATAACCTTAGCAAAATGTTAGTATGGATTCTGCTGAGTACAGAGAGCCTGCTTACTCGGCACTGGAGCTACCAAGACACTTTTACTACCAGCCTTTCAAATACACTAAATACATAGACAAGGTAGGGGGAACTTAACAAAAAATATTTTAACAATTCAAAAACCAAATTTTCCTTGTCTGTAATGAAATTCATAATATTAAAAATAAAATACTATAGGTAGTTGGGGACATGCATAGAAGTGATAGCATTTAAACTTACTAAAACTAAATAAAAAGTTAAATTTTATTTAGAAAACAGTTTGCAACAAATAAAAATCTTTAAAGAGCAATTTCCTTACCTTTGGATCACGGACATCATATGTTCGACAAAATATTCTTTACTAATTAAGGATAGGAATGACCAGAAAGAAACAATTCTTGACAATGAAAAGAAAATAAACCATCAAAAAACAGAAATAAAGGGTATGCATCAGAGAGGTTTTACAAAATCATACCACTTCATACAATTACAGACACACACGTTTATGTGTTTATATATATATATTTACATAAATTGCTCTGACTATAGTACTTGTAATGCTTTAAACTATTTCCTATTGCTTAAAGTCCTGCTAATCACAATGACTAGAATGGAGGCACTTGCAAAATTTTCCTTAAATACACACCCTCTGTAAAAAGTAGGAGTGCTGTTAGGAGTGTTTTGGATGGAGTTAAACCCGAGAATGTTTATTAGGTCAAAGAGCCTGTACATGAAATTTCTAGTTAAATACCAAAGGAGTTAAAAGCCCAGCTTCTGCAGTCCTGGCAAGATGTAGAGGAAAGAAGCTAAGAAGGTACTATAATCAGCTTTTAGTGTCACTTGATCTTGGCCGAAGCATAAAAATTTCTTGGATGTCCTATACAGTCCAGCTCAATGCACCTGTATTTTGAATTGAACATTTTTAATTAGAGCTGAAAATGCAACATAATAAAAGCCTTCTTTTGCCTAAGCTGCCAGTTGGGCATCTACAGCTGTAGGGGACCTACTGTGCTCCAATGTACAGAGGTAGGTAGTTGGTAAAGAGTTTAGAATCTCCAGTCCTTGCCACCTTTTTCAAACTCTATACAACTCTGAGATGTGATTAACAACCATTATTACCAGTATTATTACCTGTCCCAGTTATTTGTTATTTACAAAAATAGTTACAAATTATGCCTATGTTTTAAATGATGATTTAAATAAATGTTTGGGAAAAAACTTGCATGAACATTATTTCGGTATTAAAACATAAACACCTAAATAAAGGATACTTTTTTGTAGAAGAACAAATGTGAAGTGCCACTCGTTCTGCGACATCATCCTCTGTAAAATTCCACAGTCTCTTTCTATTAATAGATTTTTCCATAGCAAACACTAACTAAGAGGAAACACAGCAAACGAAAGAATAAAAGTGAGTACAGAAAAAGACAATTCTAATGTTCCTAAGCTCCCATATACCTTTAAAATTTCATGATTCTATTATTGAATTTTTTTTCAAAAGAAAGAGTGAAATTGATCATTAACCATTTGGACACCATTTTTAGGCATATATAACATTTGGGTTTTAAACAGAAAAATACAATTCACCATCATGAATGATCAACTGGACTTGAAAATATAATTTTGGGCAACTAACACTTCAGTAAAGTATAGAACAAAAACTTTATCTTAATTAGAATGAAAAACAAAAAGTGATTTTGAACCTACCAAAATGGAGCAAGTTGCCGTTTGGGTTTAAGGGGAAACAGCTTGTGGACTCTTATATTTACTTCTAGACTGTTACCCTATTCACTGATACAGGAATAAAGCAAAAAGCAGGGGATTCATGATAGATACTCTGTCTTAGGAATAGAGAAGAAATAAATAATTATTAATAAATAATTTAAAACAAAAAATAAAACAAAAAAAAAAAAAAAAAAATAAAAAAACAAATAAATTAAAAATAAAAAAAAAAAATAGAAAAAAAAAGAAAAAAAAAAAAAAAAAAAAAAAAAAAAAGAAAAAAAATAAAACAATAAAAAAAAATTAAAAAAAAAAAAAAATAAAATTAAAAAAAAAAAAATTAAATAAAAATAAAAAAAATAAAAATTAATAAAAAAAAAAAAACAAAAAAATAGAAAAAAAAAAAAATTAAAAAATTTTTTGATTCATTTCAAAAAAGCATAAAGAATTATAGAATGCTCATCTAAATGTGCCTAGCATCATTGTACATATATACATATATACAATCAATTGAAATAAGATGTAACTTTGATCATATTAAGAATTTGTGATATTCAGACTTACTCTACGCAGGGTACTTTGAAAATCATTTCCCATTTCTAAAGTTGTAATAATAAATACTCCAAGAACTAAAAGTCCTCCTGGTAGCATTCTGGATACCTAAAAACAGAAATATAGTATTAGCTAACAAGCATTTGGCATTTCATGCAATCCTTTGTGTTTGAGAAACCAAACATTAAATCAGCTATTGAGTACCAACATGCACAGCATCGAGAATCTACAAACCAGCTTTGAAAAACTGGTTAAAATATTAAGAAATGAATGATAATCAAGATGAGTGTGGTGTTTTCATGTATACACTCTTCCTGGAGTGACCTTAACTTTTCACCTTAAAACCACTCTATGACTAAGACCATTTAATAATGACACCCTTTAGCTACATCAATGAACAAACCCCATCCTCAGGGATCAAAGACTGAAAATCTAAAATTCTTTCAATGGCTTCCATTATCAGCTAAATAAAAATACAAATTTTATCTTAGATTAAGACTTCAGACTCTCTAAAATCTGGCTAATCTGATATTCAGAGCCTCATTTGATGTGACTTCTCCTGAAATACTCAAGGATCAGTCAAACACCTCCTCCCCTGTTCCGCATACAGACGCCTCCGCTTGCTCCCTGTGTGCCGTCGCTCGGGCGGCTCCTCAGCCTGAGCTGACTCGCTCTTACCCCTGTACTTGTCGGAACCTCCCCTGAATACTTAAGTCAGCTGGAAGAAGCTGTCTTCCCTGATGCTTTGACCTCCAAACTCCTAAAGGACTTTGGTGTAGTTTTCCCATGGAGCTAATCACAAGAATCTGTATTACAATTATGTGTGTGCTTATAATTTGGTCTGGGAGCTCCTCAAGGCAAGAAGTGATTCTCAACTACTTCTGCACCTGTAATACTCAGCAGAATACTAAAGCCTGGGGTTTAAACACAGGGAGCCTGACTTAAAAATCCCTACTTCCTGTTTTTAGGTTGAGATTTTTTAACCTACTGATAGACACTGGGCATTTATGTCACTTCCAAATTTTCTTTACTCTCAAATAATACTGATCAAAAATCTTAGCAAGTCTTTCTGTGTTCGTGGGATTATTTGCTTAGAATAAATCCCTTGAGGTAGTTACTAGATTAAGAAGTTATACATACTTTTAAGGTTTTTGATACATACTATGACTTTGTCCTCCATAACATGCTACTTTCCTTCACATGGCTGTGCCTAGTTCTTAGGTCACATGGATTTCTTTCCATCTATACTCAGAGATCAGAGTGCTCCAGTTACCTTTTGTGTTCTTATGTAAAAGAAAACTGATCACAAAGTTAAGTCTTTAGAAAATTAAATAACCTAACCCCTGACATACTTTCATGTGTCTGCTGGTGGCTCCCTCTGACTTCATAAATTCTATTCTATTTACTACAGTAACACAAATTTGGCACATAAATAACAAAGTTTATTTAGCATGGGGAACCTGTATATCTTTTCAGAATCACAGCACTAAAATTAACCATTTGTTTCTTGAGTTAGAAAGGTTAATCTGTTTTTCTATATAAATTTATATATATATATATACACACACACACATTTATATATATGTAAAAAATACATCTTTATATTGTATATCTATACATGTATATATCATACAATTTTATAAAAGACCAAAAGCAAAATTATAGTAGATATTTTAAAACCATTGGGAATTTAAGTTTAAAATATTTAATATTTTGTTAGACAATGGTATTAAATATTTCGTTTTAATAAACTACATACCACCCCCTCATTACAAACACATGTACATGCAGAAAGATAAACGTGTGTGTGTTTAAAAGATTTAAAGTTGATTAAAGATGGAAATAACTCCACTTCTACTTTAACACTCTTTATTAGATGACTTAATCCTTTCAACAACTTCTTTTAAGTAAATTTACTCATCATTTCCTCTCACCTATCCCCAAAACTCTTTTCTCCTGTAATGGCAATACCATCTTCCTAGATAGCCAGGTTAAAATCTCAGAAATCTTTAGTTACTCTCTCACAATATCTCTTCAGTTGCAATCTACCTGGTCACTAAAGCATCTTGATATTAGCTCTTTCTCTGAAATGTTCTACCAATCAAGTTTTAGCTCACTGCATATTAGTTTATTCTATTCACGCACTCATTTATCCAGTATTTTGGAGTTCTTCTTATAAGCCATGGAAAAACTATGCTTGGCACTGAGGATGTAACCTAAACAAAACAGACATGCACCCTGTTCTCACAAAGCATAGTCTAGTTTAGGCTCACATCATGTTTTTGAACCATCGCTGTAACAGTATGTTCGCTGTCCTGTCTCTAGTCTCTCTTCTCTCCAATTACACCATACCTAAGGCATTGAGATTTTTTTCTAAATTATTGTCAGGTCAATCATATTAACTCCTCAAAAGAGAGAGCTCTGAAAGTCTACCACAGAGCTTCGGTCTACCAAACAAACTCACTTCTTAAGATGGCACTCCAAAACCATCCATAAACTGGCCCCTTACAGTCTTATGTAAGAGAAAGAAAAGAATTCTTTTCTTTTACATATCCTGTGTTTCCATTATACTCAATTGCTCGCTATCCTAACATACTCTTAATTTCCACGCCCTTCAGTCGTTTATCCATATTGTCCTTTGTGCATTTAAGGTGTTCCCTGACTTCTACTGGCAAAGTCCTATTCATCTTTCAAGTTCAGAGCTTTCTGTGAAGCTGTTGAATCCAGCCATTGGCTATTTAATCCCTCCCTGTTCCATATTTCTAGAGCGCTTTTTCTACTTTTGTCTCATTTCTCTTGTAATTAGTTTTGGTAATAATGTCTTTCACCGTGGTGTAAATATAAACCAAAGGACATTGAAATACAAACTGAATACATTAAAAATTTTTCACCCATCATTCAATTCCCTCAATACCTAAATTAAGTCTTTAAAATAATCTCACCAGCAACTACATTACCAGTAACTAGTATTATTTTAAAGTAGGAGAAAAATTGGAAGAAAGTCAAATGACCAAAAATGGGAGGTAGGTTAAAAAATACAATGAATAAAGGTTAAAATGGAAGAACCCAGCATATAAGGTCAGAGGCGCTCAACTCAGACTGCTCGGGTTCAAACACAGTTCCGCCTCTTACTATTTAAATCTTGGGAGGGTTACTTAACTTCAAGTTCGAAAATGCTTTTTTAAAATGACACACAAGTCATCAAATAAAAAATATAGGTGTGGATGAAAAAGAGTAGAAAATTCTTCTATTTTTGATACACTATACAAGTTTTGAAAATTTAAGAATGAGTTCTCTGAAATTCTAGTCTAATAATCTGAGGATAAAGTGCTTTTACTTTGTTAGTCAATGAACACAAACTTCACTATATAAAGAAACAAATATGAAGACCTGGTTGGCATGTTCTGTGGCCCATTCTTCATCCAAGTCATTCAAGTTAGCTTTGGGGTGTTTGAGGTTCTCATCTTGTTCCTCTTTGGGTGGCGTTCTAGTGGCAAGAATCACATAATCCTTTTGTGAAGAACACTTAAAAACAAATTACAAAAGCTTGTTAGACTGGTATCTGATTGAGGAATGTAAAGCTCTTATAATGTACAAAAACTGAGTTATACATAAAGCAGCTTAAATTGTTAATACTTATATTTTAATGGATCTATAGGGAAACTAATTTTCATAGACAGCCTTACAATGCTTCCTTCACGTGTTATTTACCTTTTAATATTCTTAATATCAGCTCCTTATTATTTGGACATCCTGGATGTGAATCACATAGTCGTCCTTAAAAATGGCCTACTGGATGACTGAATGAACAGCATTTAAACTAAAAGATAATATGCTTGGTCAATTTTTTTCTAGTCATATTTATTTTGTAAATAAACTGAACAGATTGGAGGGTTCAGTAAATGTAAAAACTCAGTAAAATAAAGCAGCAAATGATCGTGTGCATCTTCCTGTCATTGAAACGATGATGGTGGGGAACTTGCCCATGTGGATCCACAGAAAAACAAAGGGGCTGTGAGACACATAATGCAAGTGCTGTCAGATTTATGTTCCTCAGTTTTAATAACAGTTAAATTGCAACCAAAGGTGGGAAGTCTAAAAATAAATTTAGGGAACTTTTAACAGCTTAGTCTCATTACAGTGAAAGTTTCTTAAAGAGTAAAAATAAAGCTAAAAATATAAGTTAGCATGGTGTCATCCTCATACATGATCTCAAATTCCCACCATTAGAGTCATCCTGGAATAGAAAGGAAGAGAAATTATTCCTACACAAGTTATTTCCACCAGGTTACATTCAAATGAGCACAAGGCAAACTAGGTGCTGGTTAAGAAAGCTCTTCCTTTTCATAAAATCTATGACTTTGAAAAGAAAAAGAAACTGATCCTGAGAGTAAAAAACAGGCCAGTTGTGGGGAAGGAGAGAAAAGTGAAGAACCCTGGACTACAGAGAAAAAAGAAAGATGTAGAACACTGGAAGGAATGAAAAAGCTACAGGAAAACTGGAAGGAAGGTCCTCAATTGTGGGAGACTTATTTGTTAAGATGGTGATTTTGTTGAGCCTCTAGAAACAGCCTACGCGTAGTAAGACAAGTTTGGAAGGTGGTATTTCTCCAACCTTTGACTTTTACTGATCATATCTCCATCTGACTCTACCCTTAAATTTTTAAAGAAGAAAAAAAATCCTCACATAAAAAGTTCCTAGCAAAAAGAGTCCTATATTAGATGCTAAGATCAGTTCAGACTATTGCCAAGAGAGGCAGCCTGGCAGTCTAAAGAGAGGCCTGACAGTGCTACTCTCTGGGGGAACAATGCTGGGTCTGCCCTCTATCTTACAAGTTTAAGAAATCAGATCTGTGAAAACTCGGAGTGTGAACCCGTCTCCCTGAGCTAGACTGATGTTAACTGAGCTCATTTGGAAAGATGTTAAAAACTAAGACTACCATGAAGGGCTGTGAAAACAGGAGTCATCTGGTCAGTGCATTCTTCATTAAGGAAACAACATGAGGCATCAAATCATGACAGTAGCTAGGGAATGTGAGTAGAATTGGAACAAGGAAAGTTAATTATGCAATTTGAAGGTTCTGAGGCATCATGATAAAACATCCAGAAAGAAAACTATCAAAGTAGAGCTTTATTTGCTACTAGGCCTCAAAATGAAGTGCGTGGGCCATAGTGCATCTACCCTAAACAGACAGGTAAAGGCAGCTTATCTCTGTGCCTCTTTTTGTTTCTTTGTAGAACTCTGACCAGTCCTTCCTGCTAGTTATCACATTCTTCCTTCAATTACAATAAATCAGTGAGGGCTTCTGCTTTTTAAAGTAACTGCTCAAATTTGTTTCATTTTTTGTTCATTTTGAAGGCTTACCTGTAAGAGAGAAATAGAATTTGTCTACCTTCCAAATTTCCCCTCATCTCTTTCCCTTCCTCTCCATTGAATCAACATTAAAAACAAAAACTCAGTAAGATGGGCACTGTAAGATGTAATAAAATATATGATCACTGTTGCTACAAGTCTGATGTAGGAGAAAGTCGAAAGGGAATAAAACTGTCAAAAGCTACTTTTATAAGGAATTGGACAACCAAGAATTATAAAAATTAAAAGGGAGTACAAAACACTTGGTAAGCCAGTAAAATATGAATAATCTGGTCAGTAAATTTCTAACTTAGGGTTTCTACATTATAAATCACTTTTAGATTGTCAAAAGGGAATGTGTACTGAGTTGAGCAAACCTGGGCTAGGTTTCTCCTACTTTACCATGTTTCTTCTCAAAGATACATTTTGAATTTACTTCTTCTAAATTCCATCCCTCCATCCCCTAACCTTGAGCTTATTGTTAAATAGCATATTTTAACATTAAATAAACAGGCAATTGGCTTTATCAATAAATACACAGTAAAAGATACATACCTGTCCTACTAAAAGACCAGAGACAAAAGCCTTTCCTTGGAGATTAATGTTTGAAAAATACTGGCAAACAGTCTCTTCTACAATGTAGGTTCTTCCCATTATTGAGAATTAATTAAATGTCCTAAATTATAAGAAAAAAATAGAATTTTTAGGTAAAAATACAATTTGCAATGTTTATCTCACGGGAGTAGTACACAGAGAGAAGTACTACCCAGGTATACCCATGCTCTGAGGTCATTATAGTGTATTCTTTCTTGCAAAGTTAAAATATAGCTTCAGAATTCCCAGCACAGTGCTACAGGATATGACTGCCAATCAACCAGAGCTGACATGAAAGAGAAAAACGATTTCCTTACCAGGAACAGGGAGGGAGAAGATACTGAACTAGTGGTCAACACACCTGATGATTTAGTCTACATTTGTATCATCTTTGATGATCTATTGCTGAGTCTCAGTGTGCTTATTTCTAAAACAGGAAAGATGATCATTTCTGAGTTGCTCATTGAGAGGTAAAGAGAATCTAATTCATTTACTCAATAAGCATACTATTAAGAACTACCACGTTCGGGAATTTGTATCAGGCGGATGGCACAAGGATGAATAACGTGTGACCTCTGCTCTTCAGTATCTCATAGTACAGTAAGTTATATAAGTAGATAAGCAGCAATGCAATAATAACAAGTGGTCCTACAGCTTCTACTTTGTAGAAGGCATTATTCTAAGTACTTTATATATAGTAACATTTAACATTTAATATTCACAAAAAACTATGAAGTAGGTACCATTAGTATAACCCTCAGGTTTTATAATGAAGAAACTCAAACAAAGTTATGTAACTTGCCCTAGAGACAAAGCTGAAGCAAAGGTGGGGTTTAAACTCAGGCTTTAGAATTTATGCCCTTAAGTGATGTGGCTCATACTGAGGAATCACACCGGGTCTTGCAACTGAACCTTTACCAGTGGTTAACTCTAGCTCTGCTCTCTCTCTCTCCAGTTTGTGGATGAGAACCTGTATATTCCTTTTACTGTTCTATGCTCCTCTGATTTGAGTTTCTGTAGCTTAAAACCAAAGATGATGAATGAAAGAGCTAGGCAATAATGAATAACAATCTCCAGTTCATGCCCAGTGTGGGAAACAAATATAGAGAGGTGATATTCAAAAAAGCTATGAAACAGATATAAAGTGACTGTGGGAACACGGCTGCAGAATTTTAAATGGAGATCATAGTCATTTGAGTTCTGTAAAAAATTTCCATTTTATTCAGTACAAAAAGTCAAACCAACTATAGATGTGCTGGGGTGATATATCTGACACCAGTAAACTGCCAGACATAATTATTTTGCATTAATCTAAAGTTAAAAGTTCGGAGGATTGGTTTCAGTTTGAAATGGCCTATTGGTGTTTTTTTTTAAGGAGCCTGCTCAGTTTTGTCACAAAACACATTAAATTTCTTCCAAGCTCTTTTCCAACAACCATACAAGTAAATCAGGTTTGCACACCCTTTCTTTTCTTTTTTTTTTAGACTAAGTCTAGAACTGTCTAAATCATTAATGCCTCTATAAAGTTAAGGGCTTTCCATCTTGAATGGTGCATTAAGGTATGCATTTCTGTGTACTAAATTTTCCTCTACTTCATCATGCTATTCTACACCTTTTCCTTCTGCCCTCAAAGTCTCAATTCTTGCAAGAAATAGCAGTGACCGTGATGAAAGCTTTGAAACATAACTTTCTAGTCTTATTTTGTCCAAGGTATCACCCACTGGCCATTTTAATGTGTAAAAAACTGAATGTAATAGAGAAAAATCTATAGTGTTATGAAATCTGGTTGAATGTCAGATTCTTCTTTAGTGATCCTTCCAAACTTTCAATTGTCACTCATCTTACTTTACAAAGGACACTACTACAAATATAGACCTTGACATATATAATTCAGTTTCTCCTGAAATGCTGTGTCAGCAGAGGCTTTGCAAATTGTCCAAGCACTGTGACTAAGACAACTCAGCCCCCTTGGATGTTGCTTTGCTAGTTACAAAATGAATAATTTGGATGACGGCAAGTCCAAAAACCTATCTAATTTTAGGATTCTGTGAGTACAGAATATCTGCATTTTCCAAATAGTAGATCAATATGATAAACTATGCACCTAGGACCTAGTACAGTACTGCGTATACCAGCAACCTTAATTAAAGTGTATATATATAAAACATCTTGGGGGAAATAGTTCATAAATGTATAAATACGTATTTTATAAAAAGTCAACCTGAAGCTCCTTACTGATAATCACAAATGACCTGTTATGGTGGGAACTGCAGGGAGGACAGTATTAGGAACACTTTACTTGGAATAAATAATTTAATACATTCTTCTGGAAGAGGGACCAAACAACTGCCTACAGATTAAGCTTCTAAGTCATGGAATTACGATCTGGAAACAACTACTTGTTATGGTGTCGAGGTGAGATGTGGTTCTTAAGTAGGTGTTTAAAGACTTCTGTTACAAGTTAATTAATTCTAAAAATATAAATATAAAGTAACATTTTTTTCATTGTTCCCTTAAAACACAAAAACAAAGGCTATATACTCCTGGACTTGGGCGTGTAGTACCGAGGTGTCTGTCCGTATGTCCCCTGCACTCTGACCTTTTCTTCCTTGAAAAGGAAGCCCTCTGTGCCCAAGTGCACACAGAACCCTCGCATACAAGTATGCCACCCTTAGGCTGCCTCACCTGTACTCAGGATGTGCACGCGTGGCAGGCAAATCTGCGGAACGGGCAGTCCGCCTAAGACAGGTATTTAGATGCAAGAAGCAGCCTCCACGTTCCCCTCCGCGCCCAGTTCCACAGCCAATGAATTCATCAGGAGGCGACGGACTTCCCGCACCTCACTTCCAACTCCGAATCCAGGGTCTCCGATCCGTTGGCGCAGCGTGATGACGCAATTCGCCCCCCCCATCCTTCACCGCGTCGCCTCAGCCAAAGAGACTGCCGTCGCCACCCCGCCCCCTTCCGGGCGCCATTGAGAGCGTGGCGGTAGCCCGGCGCCTCCGTCTGACCCTGCCGGGACCGATGCCCTCTAGTGGCTCAGTGTCTAGAAGCCGCCGAGGACGACCCATGGCATCCCGGAACTTTGACGGTAAGGTCGCCCTGCTCTTCAGGGAGGGACGTGGGTTGAGTGCTCCGTGGCGCCACCTCGCGGACAGCGGTCACACGGCCGGGCAACAGAGCACCTGGGCGGAGAGAGAGGAGGAAGCCGAATGGGCGGTGCGGAACTGGGCTCTCGGGAGGGATTCAGGAAAACACTACGTTTCCCAGAGGCGTTGGAGGCTTGGAAGGGGAGCCGGAAGCCGGAGTGAGCAAACAGGGTCAGAGGCCCCCCTCGGAACTCGGTTTCCCAGGGTGCACCGCTTCCGGCGGCTGCGCGCGCACCTTGGGCGCGGGCGCTCTGGCGCGCCCTGGGCAGCCGCCAACGGGGGACTCGATTTCCCAGGGTCCCGCCGCGTGAGTCTTCGGCGGGCGAGCACGCGCGAGCCGCCGAGCGAGCTGGCAGAAGCGGCCGCCCAGGCTTCTGGGTCCCGCTGGTCTTCGCCTCTCTCCTCCATTTCTGCTCCGTTGGCCGTTGTCGCCGCAGCTCCCGGCCCGACCGACATGGCGGCCGTGTTGCAGCAAGTCCTGGAGCGCACGGAGCTGAACAAGCTGCCTAAGTCCGTCCAGAACAAACTCGAAAAGTTCCTTGCTGACCAGCAATCCGAGATCGACGGCCTGAAGGGGCGACACGAGAAATTTAAGGTGGAGAGTGGTAAGTGCGGTGCTTTTCCCGCCGTTGCTTCCGGGCCCCACTCGGGAGCGGGGTTGGTCCCCTGCACGCTCGCCCTCCGTGCACTCCACCACGGCTTCGCGTCCCCGGCTCCCTGGCACCCCAGGCCTTCCCCACCTCCCCCTGTCCCAGTTTGATCCGAAGGACCCTTTCTCTTTGTCTTTGAAATCTGAATACCCATTTAGTTCTATTTTCTTTGTAATTAGGATGGTCTCATGTAGGGACGCAACGTTGTCCAGCAAACAAATGGTGAGGATTTGGGTCTATTTTACACCGGACTCGCAAGAGTCTNCCTAGAATACCTTGTCTTTATGTTGCAGGTAAAATGTTAGTAATTTCCGCTCTTATTTTCTACTCACCTGCATTCAGAGGCCTTTGTCTAATTGACTACTGCGTGCACTTGTTCTGAGTATGTGTCCGTCTGGTCCGGTAACTGAACTAGGTAGGTGGCCACAAAATTGAGTAGGTGCATAAGACAGCGCTGGACAAAGTGAACGTGTAGTAAATAAGTATAAGATACCGAATTTCTCTTTAAAATAGTTGGAGATTGATAAAAAGTAATATTAAGACCTGTTTATAAATACCTAAACTGCCGGTAGTAACTTGAACATCGTGAAGTTGAAGATCGTAGTAATTACCATTAGTAAAGTTCAAAACTGTGTAGTGTATGTGTTGGTTTACCAGTTGTTTGGTGGGGGGGGGGGGTGGTGAGGAAGGGTTGGTACTGGCTTTTGCTAAGTTGATTGAAAATTGTGAATAACTGTTCACTGCAAAAAAACGTTATTGCCAAGCAGAATTAATGTTGAAAATAATTCTCTGAATTCCAACACTGAATGTAGTGATAAGGAAAATACTCAACACAGCCATCAAGGTCAGCAAACCTCTTTTTTCCTGCAGTTGGCAAAGCACTCCCAGCACCCCCACCCCTCCTCTGGGCTCCTCTTTTGCCGTGTGCATGCCGAAATGCCACATATCAAAATAATATAAATTGCTCCCCTTGCTTGTGCTCAGGGCTCAGACCTTGGCAGATTACTCCCCTCTGGGCCTGCTGGTGTAAAATAAAACTCCAACCCTCCAAGACCTCCGAGTGCTGCTTGGTTCTTCCGTCAGTGATCCAGTCCAGGTTTTTTCAGTACTTTCCATAACATTTGGTCCCCTGACTGGGAAACCCAACTGCATTGGCTCGTTGTTGCCACCAGTTTGGGGCAACGGCAGGGCGGTGATGGAACAGGAGATTGCAGCTGAGAAGGCGCGCCCTGCCTGACCTCTCAGCAATCTCCTGCCCAGTCGCCCTGGGCCAGCCCCATTCTGCTGTTCCCGCCAGACTCAGGGAGGCTTGGCAGGTGAG